CGGGGAAAAAGAAGAAAACAGTCGTAATCAAGCAATAAACAATCGAAACCCAATTGATGACAGCCCCATATCGACCAAGACGGAATTCCGCTGGGGGCAATTTGTTTCTCCCAACCAGAAGAAGCGTGAGTATGGGAATAGCGTAGGATATCGTAAGGGCAATGGTACTGACGCCGACAATGGCCTCCAGAACTGTATTGGAGAAGGTGTAAAGTAGACCGACGAGACAGATGATGATTCCTTGTAGCCAAAGCGCGCGAATTGGTGCCTTCCAAGTTTCGTCCACATGGGAGAAGTAGGGACTCCACGGAATTCCTCCGTCGCGCGCAAAACTCCATGTGAGTCTGGACGCTGTCGTCAAGACAGTGACTCCCTGGCCCAAGCCATTGATGATGAAAAGAGCAATAAGGACGGCTGCCCCTTGCAGCCCAACCGTGCTTTTGACAAGATCCATAAAGGGGAGGCCTGTTGTCGGGTCGAGGACCTGTTCGAAGTCTTGAATGGAAAAGAGACAGACAACCATGAACAAGAATCCAGTACCTGCACCACAAATAATAGACAACCAGATGACCCGGGGGATGTTCTTTCGTGGTGCAGGTATCTCCTCTACGAGATGGATGGCGGCGTCGAAAGCCGTGAGTCCGTAGGCGCTCTGGACGAGGCCCATGAACCACACGATACCATCGCCCCATCCCGTGCGATTAATCCACGCTCCGAACACAAACGATGCGGGTTGGAAATGGAGTCCGTCCCTGGTCCCAACCGATATGAGTAGGGCAAGTCCGAAAACAAAAAATAACCCGGCAAACGTGATCCCAACAAAGTTGTTAAAAATGGGGAGAATCTTGTCCCTTCGACAAGAAATCATATTCAAGAGAGTCAGGAGTATTGTCGTGCCAAGGTAAACCAGAAACTGGACCCAGCCAGTTTGAGGTGCCGTCGAAGTTTCGTCGAAAAGCAAGTTCATTCCCAAGATGAACTCGGTCATAAACGCTACGGTGGAAGCTGACAAAGTCCACCATCCAAAGGTATTGATCCAGGCGCAGAGGTACGACAAAAAGCGCCCAGCTGAGGTAGGCCATAACCTTGAGACCCAGTATGCCTGACCCATAGCCGTTGGCATACTGCTGCACATCTCTCCTAGGGAAACGCCGATGCAAGTATTGCAAAAAGTGACCAAACACAGGCCCCAGAGGATGGTTATCGGACCACCGTTGGTGAGGCCGCTGGCCAGGCTTTGTGCAAAAACTGACCAGGTGCCTAGAACGACAAAGGCGAGCGACAACATGCTCCACGTGTCGAATTTGCGACTGAGAGCTTGCGAATGACCAAGTTCGGCGAGATCTACTGCATCTTGAGCTGCCTGATGCGACATCGTTGAGGGCTTCAACGTGGGACCTTGCTCAGCATCCATATTGATCGCGTGGACAGGGACGCTCGTGAGGCTTTAGACAACAGAGGTAGAAGCAGGGGAAAAGCTTGGTTGAAAAGATGAGATTGTGACATTCTCTTGTGGTAGTTCGTTGGCGTGTCTCGGCCAATACCCTCTTTCACGGCAGTGCACTACTTCTTATAATTATTTCCCCTCATCCTGATGTCGGATCTTCCCCCTTTTGGAGTCGATAACACTCGGAGTGAGTGATTAGTGTTGGCATATAATAACAACCTAATCTTTTTGGGGCCGGAGATACGCATCATCCGGGTAGATTCATCTACTGAGGAGTGGTCGACTCGTTATGCCGGTAACTCATGGTTCTCTCGCCCCCACCAGCCGGGCCGGTCCCACTAGTCATCAACGACAACGAGTCTAACAACATCCCTTGTCCCGGTCATCCCCGCGTGCGTCAGAGATCTGGATCGTAAAGCTGATACCCATCTGACCAAAGCTTGAACGGGCCGGCGAGCAAAAGCCCCAGTGGACTTCGTAGATGGCACGACATTTTACGTAAATACCATTCGTCAGTCGAGCGACCATGGGTATAAGTATAGCCGTTGTCTCTCAATTCTAAGACGGCGTTAGAAGCCTGTGTTCGCCCCCCTGTGCTTTTATACGATATTTCCGTCAACATGATCAAAGACACAACTTCTCTTCCTGGTTACACAATCTTCCATCATGAAGAAGGCGACCAAGCTCCGGACTTGTCTAAGCAAGCAGTGATGCATCCTCTGGGTATGTCAAAGTCTTGATTTCTGACGTACGGCAATGCCTGCGTACCTGAGACGGTTGCTGGCAGGTTCAATTGCGATATTGTGAAGCTAATGTAATATTCCAGATCCGTTGTCAATCGACGAATTACGAGTTGCTGCCAGGCTCATCCGTGAGCACAGAAACGCTGGTTCGGTCAAATTCAATTGTCTGACTCTACGTGAACCTACCAAGAGCGAGTATGCAGAGTTCCGTGCAGGGCGAGGGCCGCGACCCGAACGGCGTGCCTTTGCTATCATACTGGCAGAGCGTGGTTCAAGCAAGGTTGCCGAGGTCATTGTCAATCTGGCCAAAGGCCAGGTTGAGACCTGGAAAGCAGTATCGGAGGTCGCACCGACCCTGACTCTTGAAGACCTCGACGTTACGGAACGAGTTGCCCGGCTGAACCCCAAAATCATTGAGGTTTGCCGTGAGATTGGCATTACCGATATGTCCAAAGTGTTCTTCGACGCCTGGGCCATTGGATTCGACCACCGTTGGGGGTTTGAACGGCGTCTGCAGCAAGGTCTGCCCTACTACCGAAAGTCATCAATGGATAACCAGTACGCACACCCCTTGGACTTTTCCGTGGTTGTGGACACCGAGACGGAAGAGGTCCTCGCTATTGACGTTCGACATGTCAACGGAGAACGGACCAAGGTCCCGCTGGACGAACACAACTACCTACCAGACTTTATTCAAGAGTCATACGATGGCACCAGGCTCAAGCCTATCGACATCACCCAGCCGCAAGGCGTTTCGTTTCGCATGCAGGGGAACGAGCTTTTCTGGGCGGGCTACAAGATGCATATCGGTTTCAATTACCGGGAAGGCATCGTGATCTCAGACGTGCGCATCCACGACCAACAACAACAACAAGATCGAACACTGTTCAACCGCATTAGCGTTGTCGAAATGGTTGTCCCGTACGGCAACCCTGATCCACCACACCAGCGGAAGCACGCCTTTGACGTTGGTGAATACGGCAGCGGCCTTATGACGAACTCGCTCAAGCTTGGCTGCGATTGCAAGGGCGAGATCCATTATCTCGACGCAGTCATGACGACATCCAAAGGCGAACCAGCAATGATCAAAAACGCGATTTGCATCCATGAGGAGGATAACGGACTTCTCTACAAGCATACGGACTTTCGTGATGGCAGTGTTATTTCAGCCCGTGATCGGAAGCTCGTCATTTCCCAGATCATCACGGCGGCCAATTACGAGTATGCTTTCTACCATACCTTTACTCTCGACGGCACATATAAACTCGAGATCAAGCTCACGGGCATGTTGAACACGTATTGCATGCACCCATCCGAGTCGGCAGCTCCGTACGGCACCGAGGTTGCGTCCCGATTGAATGCCCATAATCACCAGCATATCTTCTCGTTGAGAATTGATCCCGAGATTGATGGGCGAAACAATTCAGTGCTACAAAGCGACGCGGTACCATCGGACGCGCCCGTGGGATCACAAGAAAACCCCTTTGGCAATGGTTTCTACTGCAAAAAGACACCTTTGCGTACTTCGGAGGAGGGTGCTGCAGTGTATTGCCACGAGACGAGTCGGGCGTGGGATATCATCAATCCGAATAGCATCAACCCTTCAGCCAAAAAGCCGGTTGGGTACAAAATCATCAATCCCAATTGCCCGCCTCTTCTGGCCAAACCAGGAAGCATGGTGTACAAACGGGCGGCGTTTGCTCGCAAGAGTCTTTGGGTAGTGCCGTACAAAGACTACGAGCTTTTCCCGGCTGGGGACTACGTCTGCCAGTCGACGGGAGAGGAGCATCCGCATAACCAGACAATCGTGGATTGGGTGGCTCGGAACGAGTCTATCGAAAACACAGATATTGTGTGCTACATTCAATTTGGTCTCACGCACTTTCCCCGGACGGAGGACTTCCCAATTATGCCAGCAGAGCCGGTGAGCGTGATGCTGCGGGCGTCCAACTTTTTTGAGAAGAACCCAGGACTTTGGGTACCGCCGTCGTCGGTGTGTGTCGATCGGACGTCCAAGGATGCATTCTGCGCCAATGAGGGGAAGCGTGGTTGCGCTCGGTTGTGAGGAATGGTATCCGTACCCACACGTTGATACAGCGTGTGAAGACTGGGGAGAAATAAACAAGGTGGAAGACATATGGTTGAAATTGTCGTATTTGGATTTGTAGAAAAGCGCAGTGTGGATGAATGTCATTTACTCACCCGAAATTTGGTGTTTGGTGACGCTTCTAATGAGAGTCCGGTGAATCGCACAGACGGTGGATGAGAAGGGCAAGACGGAGATTGTGACAAGGGTTGCGTGATGTGACCGACAGTAAGGTATCCGTGCCGCGGGCCTTATGTCGAGTCCGTCATCCAGGCGGTCTGCAGAAGATGCATAGGCTTGGTACCTACGAAGTAGCCTACCTAGGTACCTTACCTCAGTAGGTAGTATGGTAGCCATGGTCCAATTGACATCTTTTGCTTTGGAATTACAAGTGAAGAAGGCGGATGACGATGCTCGAGTAAAGCGATGCCGTGACGCGTTGACGTGCTTATCTTCAATGAGTTGGCATGTCAGGGGTGTATCCGTTTCTACATAGTATATGGCTGGATCGTGACGTCCAACCGGGCGATTGCTTGGGTGCCAATGACTCAAGTAAGATCTGACCATGTGGATTCAGTGAGATGTTCCGCAGAAGCAGCCGCAGCCTTCGCTGAGGTATTGACGGTGGGAAATTGCATGAGAAGATGATGAGGGGGACGACTCAATTGCTTTACATGTGCTTGAACTTCTCTTACTAAGGTATGTAGGTATTCGTGGACCGTACCTAAGTAAGCAGGTAAGGTACCATGCGATGTACGGAGGGGAGACCCCTCATGCCCAAGACAAGGTAAAATAGCTTCATACCTGAGGCAGCAGATATTTCCCCTCTTCTCCATTGGGTTCTGCCATCTTCTCCCCTCCGAGGCAGAAGCATTGAGGGAAGGTAGTCACCCAAGCACCTTCCCAAGCTAGACTGAGTAAGTACGAATTCAGACAGAATGTGTTTGTTTATATCCAATGGAAGGTGTCTATACGGGACACACATTGTTTCTCTTTGCCGCCGCCATGTGCCAGTACCACCTGGAAAAAAAAAAAAGAAAAAAAAAAAAAACTTTGCGCCCAACGGTAAAGAAACAGCAGTACGGAGTAATTAGCAGCCATTGAGAGGCCCCCACGTCTTTGGCAGGAAAATCCTTGACGGGCCCGTTGGTCAATGGTCACACAATGACAGGTCCCTGAGCGCCCAAAGTGTGACCTCAGGCCATACAGAGGTATCTTTGTGGACTGTGGCCTGCTAGATAGTACATCCATGGGGATGCCGCCACTACACCCAATTAGAATAGCTTGAGTGGGCCCAACGGCCGGGCTGCCAATAATTTGGAGGGTCCAAAGCAGGGGTCCAGCCACTTAGAAAGCAGGTCGCTCATTTCCATCACCACATGAACGAGTGAAGCAGCAGGTGCAAAACCAGTGACCCACGATAACGGCCCAAAAAAAATACAGAAAGAGCGATTGCCATGTAGAAAAAAAAAAAAGAGCACCCTGGCCAGGCAGGTGCTATGCTGTGCAGAAAATCCCCTTGACCGCCTTTCTTTGTTTACCTTGCCTCACCTTTTACCGACAATTCCCTCCCGGTCCTACTATCCCGTACTCCTCCTCCTCCTACTCCTCACCGTTGCCTCACTCCCCCAAGGAAACCTCAAGGAAAGTCGACTCACCGACGTTCATGGGTCTTGCCTGCACTGCGCCATTCCCCCAAAATCTTTAACCATTAACCAATCTTATCCCATCAACTGCCCTGCCCGCCTCTCTACCTTCCCTCGACTGAACCGACAACAGGCCCCCCTTCCCCTTAGTTCAGTCTGACGAGAATTCTCCATTATGGGCAACGTTGTCTCAGTCTTCTCACCCAGCAACGGTCACCAGCTTGAGGGCTCTGCTGCAGAGCTCGAGCAGAAGCTTGCCGACCGTGAGGGGACCATCACTGTCCTCGAGGAGGACCTTTCCAAGAAGGAGAAGCAGTACACCTCCCTTTCCGAGGAGGCCGAAGACTTGCGCAAAAAGATTCAGGAGCTCGATGCCCAATTCACATCAACCAAGCAAGAGAACAAATCTCGCATCGCCACTCTCGAGTCCGAGCTTGCCACCAGCAACGACAAGATCAACCACCACCTTCAGGCCAACGGCGACGCCAACACCCAGCGCGCCCAGGAGCTCGACAACGCGAACAAGAAGCTTGCCGCTCTCCAGGAGCAGCTCGATAAGGTTCAGCAGGAGAAGAAGGCTCTTGAGGATGATCTTGCCGCCGTGAAGGAGCAGCTGGCCGAGGCCAAGAAGGAGCGCGAGACCCTCGAAGTCTCCCTCCGCGACGAGCTCAAGGCCCTCCAGGAGCGCCTGACCGATGCCGACCAGGCCCGATTCACCTTGCAGGAGACCCTCGACAAGATCAAGGCCGAGGCCGAGTCCGCGAACAAGTCCCTCGGCGAAAAGGTTGCTGCCGTTACCACCCTCGAGGGCAAACTTTCCGACCTCGAAGGCCAGCACTCCAAGCTCAAGTCCGACACCGAAGCCGAGCTCGCCACCGCCGGCAGCAAATACACCGCCCTTCAGGAGGCTCTCGACAAGCTCAAGGCCGACACCGATTCCGATCTCGCCGCTGCCAAGAAGGAGTTGAGCGATGCCCAAGAAAAGTTCACCGCTCTCCAGAAAACCCACGACGATCTTCAGAGCGGTTCCAGCGCCAACGTATCTGCCGCCCAGAAGGACCTCACCGATGCCCAAGAAAAGCTTGTCGCTCTCCAGTTGACCCTTGACCAACGTAAGACGGAAGCTGATGCGGACCTCGAGGCCGCCAAGAAGGAGCTGCTCGACGCCCAGACAAAGTTTGTCGAGCTCGAGGATAACCACAACAAGCTCAAGATCGGTTCCGAGGAGCAGGTCGCTGCCACCAAGAAGGAGCTCACCGAAGCGCAGAACAAGGTTGCCAGCCTTCAACAGACCCTCGATGGCCTCAAGTCCGACTCCGCATCCGTCTTGTCGTCCACCCAGAAGGAGCTTGCCGACGCCCAGGAGAAGCTTACTGCTCTCCAGCAAACCAACGACAAGATCAAGGCTGAGGCGGATGCAGACCTGGCGACTGCCAAGAGCTCCCTCGCTCAGAGCGAAGACAAGTACGCGAAGCTGCAGGAGTCGAGCGCGGCGGAGCTCGAGTCAGCCAAGAAGAGTGTTGCCGAGTGGGAGGACAAATACAACAAGCTGGAGCAGTCGCACAAGGATGCTCAGTCTGCCTCTGGTACCGAGCTTGAGTCTGCAAAGAAGTCTCTGGCTGAGTCCGAAGAGAAGTACACCAAGTTACAGGAGATTCATGACGCCGAACTGACGGCTGCCAAGAAGGGCGTTTCCGAATGGGAGGAAAAGTACAGTGGCTTGGAAAAGACTCAGAAGGAAACGCAATCCGCTGCCACCGCAGAGTTGGAATCCGTGAAGAAGAGCTTAGCCGAGTCCGAGGACAAGTACAAGACGCTGCAGGAGGCGCAAGCACAGACCCAGTCGGAATCCAGCGCAGAGTTGGAGGCTACCAAGAAGAGTGTTGCAGAGTGGGAAGAGAAGTTCAACGCTCTCAAGCAGACACAGGAGAAAGCCCAGTCTGAAAGCAGCGCTGAAGTTGACGCCGCCAAGAAGACTGCTGCCGAGTGGGAGGAGAAGTACACCACCTTGCAGCAGGCCCAGGAGAAGGCTGCGTCTGACTTCAGTGCCGAGATTGATGCCGCGAAGAAGAGCGTGACGGAGTGGGAGGAGAAGTTCAACGTCCTCAAGCAAGCACAGGAGAAGGCCCAAGCCGAGTCTAGCGCTGAAGTCGAGGCCGCGAAGAAGAGCGTTGCGGAGTGGGAGGAGAAGTACAAGGTTCTCCAGGAGTCGCACGACAAGGCACAATCCGATGCTGGATCTGAGCTCGCCTCCATCAGGCAGAGCCTGGCCGATGCCGAGACCAAGCACAAGTCAGAGCAGGAGTCCCACGAGAACGCCAAGGCCGATATTGAGGCGGAGCACACTACCACAAAGAAGTCTCTCTCTGATCTCGAAGAGCAGCATGCCGCTCTGCAGCAAACTCACGACAAGACGAAGACCGAGTCAGCCGAGGAGTCCTCGCGTTTGAGCAAGGAGCTGGCGGACTTGCAGAGCAAGTATGCTGACCTTGAGAAGTCTAGCGAGAGCCTCAAGAAGGACGCATCTACTGAGTTGGAGAGCGCTAAGAGGGAAGCTGCCAGCTGGCAGGAGAAGGCCGAGAAGTCGACCTCTGCTGTTGACTCATTGACGAAGGACCTCGAGGACTCCAAGAAGGATCTGGCTGCCGCCGAGGCGAAGCACGCCGCCGAACTGCAGAAGCTGCGTGAGGAGCTCACAAAGGCTGCTAGCGTTAATGGCGACAAGCCCGCCGCCGAGCCTGCAGTGGAGGAAGCCAAGCCCAAGGAGGAGGCTGTTGCTGCATAAGTGTTACTGGAATTCCATTGATGACTGGGAAGATCTGTGTACAAAGGTGAAGGGCGAAGTCGACCAGGCCCCAGGGGAAGGACATACACCAAACCGAGATACCAAACAAGAGTGCCACGAAGTTGTACTTAATAAACTAATCCCCCATGAACTAGATACGAATCATGACACGTGAATTGACTTACTTTGCCTCTTCAATGACCATACGATCCGATGCGCAAAAGACCCGCGATGTTCGTGATAGTGTGCCAGATCTATCTTCACCATGCTCTTGTGTCCTTGACACATTTCCACCTCAGACTGCCTCGCAAACAACTGAGCAGATGACAAGATCTACTGCTCAATTCCACCTTTCATCCAAGTGAGTCTCAAGCATCACAATCGTAATTATTGAAGGTATGAACACTGGCATTGGGCATCGTTTTCGTCACTCGTCTCCGCCGAATAGACACTGGCTGTCACTGCTATACGTTTTCAAGACTGAAAGGTTCAATTCCATCTGATTGCCTCCTCCTAGGCATTTCGATCGGTGCTTGCTTGTAGGCTTACGGCAGCTCGAATATCCGCGAGTCGGAAGGAACAGAACTTGGGCCCTCATTCCCCCGGTTGGTCATCGAAGACGCCTCATCAATGAAGTCTCTCTGATTACTTGGACGTTGATAGCTGGTGAATTGATCCAAGCTTGGAATCGAACCCAGCATCTCGAAAACTTGAACTTGCTCAGACTCTCGCTGGGGTACTACATTATCCTGGAATTGTGATACATGGCTACCCCGCAGAGAATTGATAGAAATAGCCTGCGAAAGCGGATGAGGAGCCCTCTCTTGGGCGTAACAAGCGAGATGGGCCCGTGACGGCAATGATTGCTGTTCGTGCGTCAAGTCTGTATTGAATGCCTGGTCTTGTAGCCGACGAGGCTGAGATGGAGAGTTGAGATGACTGGTGACATCCTCGTTGCGATATATGGGACTATATGCGCGAAAACGGCCATTTGAGACGGCGTTTTGATCATCCTTAGCATCTAGAGGAAAGGAAGCAGGATATGCAACCTTGGGGTTCTTTCCTACATCTGGCGATGATGACGCATCTGGAGGGTTGGACTGGTGGGGGCCTTTACGTCTGTGTCGACCTAGTTGTGAAAACGATGGCGACGACCACGAGCGAAACTGACGTGCTGAAGATGAGATAGGCGCGGAAGCCGAAGAGGGAGATGAAGTGCTTCGTGGTGATGTTAAGTCCTGAATCATGCCTGGAACAGGCGGACTGTCAAGGTTCCGATGATCGAACTCCTCAGATTGATGTTGTTTACGGAATGACGGCGGTTGTTGCCTCTGGGCTGTATTTTCCAAAGACATTGCTGAGGTGGATCGAACTACCAATGTGGTCTCCGAGTTGGAAAACCCGGGTGTTCCACGCATAGACGACAAGGAAGACACCACGGAGGCTGGTCGATGGAGATGCTCAGCACCAGGAGACCACGGTGACATGGATGTAGATGCGCTCGACACAGATGGCGTTGATGATAAAAGTGGTGTCATGTTCGCATAATCTCCGAACAAAAGAGAAATTCCGTCTCCATCAGACAAATCTAGGACTTCGCCTCCTGTTTCCTCATATCCAAGTATACTCGGCGCATCTTGATGTTGGTCGAGGAGGTGCTCGGGTATGTCAATCTTCGACAAAGATGAAGAAAGGAAGTCGGAAGGGAGTTTAGGACAATCTGTAGATACAGGCAGAGGAGATAGAGCCGAGTACACAGTAGAGGGGCCGGAGGATAAAGCAAAGAAGGCCTGACTTGTTATTGAATCGGCTGGTTGACGCTGCTCGGGGGGGTTGATATCGCTTGAATAGGCCGGTAATGAGGTCACGGATCCTGAGCCAACGTCAATATACATGGTGGATTAAGTTCACAAAGGGGGACAGTGGGTACGGTACCTGAGGTATTGGCCTTCCCGATCAAGTCCTCCAAGAGTGCAACGTTGTCAAACAACATCGTCGGTTTCTTGGAGGCATCATCATCGCCATTATCGCGTTCCGGGGTTGGCGCAAGCAGCGCAATCTGTCGCAGGAAATTCAATTCTGCGAGAACGGAAGCATGATGACGACTGATGACCGGTCTTTGTGCTTTGAACTGTGCGGAGTCGAAAAGAATCCAGGACAGCCTACTCCTGAAGGGGGTCCTTCCATTGTCCAGCCGAGGGCGACTCTTTTCCACGATCTCACAGACCTCGACCAAGCCCTTGTGTGTTGTTTCGACGATGCTGTTGACACGCTCAAGGACTTTGGGGCGTCTCTGAAGAAGGGGCAGCAGCTCATTGCGGATTTCGATAAGATACTGCAAGTCGGTGTGGCAGGTACGCACAAGTTCTAGGCTGTTTCTGACTTCTTGTGGGACTTGATCCAGTTCGATACCAAAGAGAACAATGTAGTAAGTTGCACGTAGAGCGCTGAGGGGATCCATAGAGAAACGCCAGTGCTTAACTTTGCATGCACTCGACCGAATGTCAAATCAGCAAGCTGTTGAAGATGTAGCAAATCATGATCCAAAAAGACGCTTTAGAAAAGCTAACACGAAAGCAACAGAACCAGGAGGGTTACCATAGACTGTGTTTCTTGCCACTTCAACACCACATCAGCGAGACAATGTGCATAATTGAGATAACAGAAGGAGCTCTGTACCGAGCTCGACCGTGATCATGGACCTAGCTGACGCGACCCAGGTCTTCTTGTCTAGCAGCACAAAAGTAAGCAAATGCATAGGTAGTGCATGTCCTAATTTTGGAGGGGGCGTATTGATTGCTGGGGCCAAGCTTTCGCCATAGCAAGCAGGCTGCGGTATGAACCCACCGCCTTCAAGTACATGGTATCATGCTTCTCGCGTGGATATTCTGCGTTTGCGTTGGAGGGGATTCGGTGATGTTACCCAGAAGGCTTCCTCACTTGCCTATGTGTCGTCTGTGAACCTGGGCAATCAGTAGTCACTAACCGACTTAAGTAGGACACTCCGCTGTGGCATCATAGGATGCAACAAGACGAGCCCCTATCTTCAATCTGCAAGTGCCTGAATATGAACCATCAGGCTGGGGCTGAATACGGAGTTAAAGGCTAGCTAGGCTATCTGAGCCGTGGTGAAGGGGGTGGGGTGGGTAGATGCACTCACGGAGAGCCAACATGCATGTGGCACAGTAATTAGCGGTTGGGCTTTCTCTCTTGGGAATGTGATGAACAGCCTGATTGGTGCTTGGAAAAAAAAAGCAACACATTTTGAACCAACAGCACAGTCTTAGCGCCTAACAGTCCATGGGGTTTCACCAGGGTCAGTGTGACGGCACGACTTTTCTAGGGGTAGAGCAGGCTGAGCTGAAGATAGCTCACACAGTCAATATCCACATCTTCATCTTACAACTTGCCACACTACAGGGTCCTTTTGTAATTTTCCCCGCCTGCATGTTAGTTTGAGTCATGTTACTGACTTGAAGTAAGTAGCTTGCTTGTGTCGATACAGTCTGCAGCCAACCGGACCAAAATCTAACTGCCTAAACTTGTGTTACCACAGGCGCCACGACCTGATGAGGTGACCGATACAACTTTCCATCCTTGCCACTTAACTTATCAAGACCAGGAAAAACGACGAGCATCCGGACCCCCGAGTTTCTTCCACCCTGGCCATACTTGAAATGCCAGTCGCTGGGTTGTGACATGACCAACCAACCAAACTTTGCACATTCCAGAATGACCGCCTGGAGGTGTTCCGTTTGCTCCTCTAGTCTGGTCTGGTCTGCAGGAACGAAAGGCCTAAGGAAGACCTGAAGAGCTGCGGTGAGATCAGCAGCATGCTGAGCTGCCGCCGAGTCTGGCATTGAAAGTGGAGTCCGTTGGTTGCGACTTGGGTGCAGTAGAAACGCCGATAATTTACGCCATTGTGACAACGCGAGCATTTTCGCTAGTTACCAAAGTCAGCTTTGCAAATCTCAGTGATCTGGGAGGCCTGGAGCTATCAAATTCTCACCACTAGAGTTGTCGTATTGGGTATCCCTTGGGACGGAGCGGAGAAAGTTTGTCACTGGTTCGGGAAGCACAGAAAATCGGCCCCCTGAGGGGAAGTCGATACTGTTGAGAATGGCCGTGGAAACAACGTGCTGAAGCCCGACTTGTCGACTGACCGGATTGGCACAGATAGCGGCCACGCTTTCGGGAGTTGACCCTGGAGTCTGGGGCAATTCCAAGTCGCGAATGCTCGGAACTAGTGAAGCCGAAGAGTGCAATGGTTGTAGATGGTAATGACTCTCAATGTGAGACCGTACCAGTTCGCTTAGTGAACGGAATTCGTCGCCGATTTCCTTGTCGGGAGTTGCATCTAGGAGGAATTGGTGGAGGTCAACATCCTTACTTGACTGGCCAGAACTAGGCTCTCCGTAAATCTTTGACTCCGTTGTCAGCACGAAATTCTCCTTCTTGATATTCTTTCCATCTTTCTGGTGCTTTCGACGCAAAATCGCTAGTGCCACAATTGCCCCGATCAGAAGGCCGCCCAGCAGACAACCTACTGATGCCCCGGCGATAGTCCCAGTAGATATACCGGTCGAAGATGGACGAGGACAATGCGTCGAAGCACTTGAATTGGTCGCTGGCTTGATGCTAGTAGTATGAGCTAAAGGATACTCAAAGATAGTAACCGCCACTGCGATGGGTGCTTGTGCAGCTGCATTTGTGTATGGGGTAGCCGTGAAAATTGTGTTGGCTACTTGGGTAGGTGTGCCTCTGTCGATACCAGGCTGGGCCCCAGATAATGTTAAGGTGATTTCTGCAAGTGGCAGAGCAGGTGTGCTGAGAGTCGGCGTTGAAAGCTGGCTTGATCCAACTGAGGCTGGAAAGGTTGATGAGGTAGCAGATGCTATACTTCCTGAAAGGCTACCAGCCGCCGCAGCTGAGTTTTGCGTGGTGGAAGAATCAGACATCTTGACTGCTGAGAACAGACTGTCAAGACTAGCATTTTGGGAACACATCAAAAGTTATCCAAGGTAAGTACTCCGTAAACACACATTCGTTCCCGTGGATATCTTTCAATATCCGTACATGTGCGAGCCATTGTTGTCTATAATTAAGGTAC